ATGTGGAAGTGAACAGTGAAAAATGGCCTGCAGTGTCACTGCTCTTTTCAGTCAGCGTTATTCATAATACAACATGAGTAGCTCATCTTTATAATGGCAAGGCTCTGCTGAAGCTGTCTCACACTGCATTAACAGCAGCTAAACTAAGCAGTTTTTTTCTTTTCCATCACTACTTCTATGTTATTTCAGCCAGGTTGTTTTATATCCTACTTCACATGCAATTCATTAAGCTGTTTGAGGTAAATGGTATAAATTATCACTTTCTGTAGCCAGCTTGCTATGTTATTAAAAATCAGGTCAAGATATCAGTTCTATAGGTTTACTCAGGCAAAACTCCCATCAGAGCAAATGGGAGTGAGACTGAGTAAGACTAGGAAACTTAATCCCTACATCAGGCACCAGCATTGCCCAGCTCATAGAGTTCCAAGAACAGGAACCATTCTGGGTGTTAAACATTAATTAAACTTCCATGGATTGTGAGGAGCAACTCTTATGACTTGGGCATTGTTCTCCAGGTGTGTAAGATGGCATCATAAGGGGTACAGACCTGCAAAGGGGCTTCACTGTAGACAGGAATTTGGTCCATAGACTATATGAAAGGTGATACTTTGTATAAATACCACACACACTTTTACAAGATGTAGAAAAAGATTTAAATTCAACTGTAGGTATAGGATTGCATCATGAGTGTGTATGTGTACTTTGTAAGTATGAATATCTATGTCATACTGTTTTAGTATCTACATTTTTAACTATAGGTAGAAATGAAACAACTACAGAAAAGTTACAAGGCTTTGGCAGATCAAATGAACCTCATATTGTCCAAACGTTTATGGTACATCATGATAGAGCAATTCCTGATGAAGTATGTCTGGAGCAGCTGTGGCTTGATTATGGTGGCTGTGCCTATCATCACTGCGACTGGATTTGCAGATGGAGGTAATAACTTTTTTACTTTAATTTCAAATGTGTGTTAACTTCAGAGTATCAATAAAACTATGTCTCACTTTATTACAGCCATGTAGATAAAAGCAGTATTATACAAAAACTATATACCACATCTTTGTGTAAATCCTGTCTTGTCTCAAACTTTACAAACAAAGCAAATCAGCTGAGAGCAAAAATGATAAAAGACATTACTTTGAAATTCTGAAATGACAGGTTTACAGGAGGACCTAAATGGTCATGTTATATAATATTGTAACCTTAGCTGTAGCTGTCATACCCTAAGTGAGGTTGGAAAAGCATGCTGATTCCTGGACTACCTGCTGCTTTGTTACTTAGTACTGTTCATTGATTCATTCATTAGTTCATTCATTCCTTTATTGGCTTTTCTCTGATGCTCCTCTTCTTATTGTTTGAGTGCTTCAGGGCTCTGCCACATGTTCAAGGTAAAGCTGGGTAGAAACCAGCTATAAAGTTGTTGCATGTTTTCAAGCACTAACCGCATACAGTTGTCTGTTAACATTGCAGTTAACACCATGGACCAGTTAATTGCATAATATATAGGCAGACAAGGTTCTTTGGGTGAATCTGATATCTTTTATTAGAACAACTTAAATATTTGGAAAACAATTTTTAAGCAAGCTTTTGGGTTCAAAAACCCTTAGTCAGGCTAAGGAAGTTTCAGCAGTTGGTGTGTGCTCTTCCTGGATAGGATGAAAAGTAAAGAAGCCAGAGGCTGGGCTGGTATGCATACAAGACAGGCAATCAGTGAAGATGTAGATTGAGGAGTCAATGGGTGAGACACAGGCTGGGTGGTGGGGAGAGAAGGGGGTTGAATAGTGGAGAGGTACCTGGGAAGTCAGATGTCAGGCAGGTTATAATGTGTCATAAATCCAATGTCTATATTTAGTCCATGATTTTTAGTATCCAGGAGGCTGATGAAGTGGAGTTCATAGGCTCGTCTCTGGGAACCATTTTGTAAGTTTCCTTTGAGGATCAGGACTGAGAGACTGGAGAGAGTGGTTTTCTTGTGAGAAATGTGCCCCCACTGGTAATTGGGTATTCCTGTGTTTGATAGATTTCCAGTGTGCATTCTTTCTGGTGCCAACTGCTGAAACTTCCTTAGCCTGACAAAGAATTTTTTAACCCAAAAGCTTGCTTAAAAATTGTTTTCCAACTATTTAAGTTGGTCTAATAAAAGATATCAGATTCACCCAAAGAACCTTTTCTGCCTATGTCCTTAGACCAACATGGCTACAACCTACACCCCTCTTGCATAATATATGTAATATGTGATAGGGGCCTTACACATGCACATTTATTTATATTTATTTATTCTACTATGTGTTGACCTATCTAGGAATCTGCATATTCTGCCTTGTTTGGGGTGTAGAAGGGGACAGGAAATTCAGGTTATGGGTCCATGTGGCACTAATATTCATGTCCTTCAAAGATCCTGCTCAGATCTTCTGGCAGCGCTGGTGATATGAGGCCCTGATATTACTACTATTGTAGATGTTTAAAAAAAATAAATAAAAAGAACAGCAAGAAATGCAGTTTGGTGAGGTGTGGAAGAAAGCAAAGGAAGTGCCTGGTCTAAAAACTCTTGGGACAGGGCTCCCTTCATATATGATTAGGCAGTAATGACAGGCAAACATGTTTTCCTGTTATTGTTGACAGATTTTTACAAATGCGTTGATATGGTAATTTCTGCATAATGGAAATCTACAAGAAGGGAATATAATGAACTGTTCTTGTTCATTAGCAATTTCAGATGCTAGAAATCCTATTTAGAAACTGTAATGATTGGCTTTCTGGGACTATTTAAACAGAAAGACAGATTGACTTTGGGACAACATGGAACCTTGCCTTAACCAAGTTCCATATATCTGATTGGAATCACAAATGGTAAAATTTAGTAAGGTTTATGAAGCAAAGACTCTTTAATGTTTTAAAAGATGAGAGCTCAATTTTTAAATTCAGTACGTGTAGCCAAGAACCATAGGCTCACTTTCGGAACACGTGAAATTTGTTCACATTGTCTTTTTTTTTGCTTTAGGATTTGGCTGTCATATCCTTAAAAAAAAAAAAGGAGTTTATACTGATGTGTATCGAACAATATAGCCAGTGGAGGGTAACAGTACTTTATTACTGTGGTAACAGAAGTGAGGTTTACTGATTTAAGAGTATGTCTACTAAGCTAGAAATCTGCGGTGTCTTGCAATTATCTTTAATGGACACAAAGGTTATTTAACTGTAGAATACAAGTGTCTTCTCCCCAGCACTTTTCTTATGAATCAGAAAAAAAATGTTGTTGGTTTTTCAAATGAATACAGCTACTACAAAGATAGAGAGCAAAGGAGCTGTGTGTCATTCTCATCTTCCTTATATCAAGTAACACTCTTGATACCTAGGATGAGTTCCTTGATAAATATGTTTAAAATGTGGCAGAGCAGAAGGTCAGTGATAGCCCAAGTTATACTACTGACAAGTAATTTACTAGTAATAACAAGTAAAAATGTTAAAGCATAGAAGTTGTCATAGAAGCACCATGGCACTGACTGACTAAGAGTGGGAAGTTACAGGATCAGAACTGTATTAATAATGGTGACAAATTGACCCCATTGAGACTAGTATGAAGGCTATCTGGTATGCAAGAACTGAACAGACCTAACTCACTACTGCAGTTGATCCAGTTAGATAAATAGCATTCTGCCCTCCAGGTCAGATAAACTGAGTTCATAGTTCTGAAGGAGCAGAATTAGAGCTATCATTGTAGAGTAAATCCAGGAAGGGTATAGAACTGGTATAGTGACCAGGCCTGAGCTCGGACACGGTGCATTGTAGGTGTGCAGCAGTAAACTTTCGTACACTTTTGCTGCAAAAATTAAGGTGTTTGTAAAATAAAATTTGCATATGCTTCTATAATATCTTTGTTGTGCCAGCCCTTTGCTGCCACTTCCATTGCATAATTCAGGCAGGGGCTTACTTTGCAAAGTCAGGGTCCCACTTTTTGATTTTTAAAAGGTGGCTCAAGAGTATGTAAGTATTAAACTTGCTTTTAGTGTTAAGATGACATGGCATCAAAATATCCAAGATATGGTTAGTTTCCTGGAATCATATTAGTGGCAATGAAATTTTCATTTTGTTAAACTTAATAGATGTGATTGTTTAAAAAAAAAAGAAAAAGGGGGGGGGTTATAACTCTTACACATGAGGAATATGTTAGGCTACTCATGGAGATAAAATACTAGACAGCAGAGAGAGAGTGCACACGCTTGTCCAGTCTATCTAGTACAGTGTTTCTCAACCCGTGGGTTGTGACCCAAAACTGTGGGTTGCAAGAATATATGAAAGGATTGCGGACAAACTTTAAAAATGGATTCTCCTTTAAAGGAGAAAAACGTGGGAAACCATGGGTTTCCCCTCGTAGGCAGGCAGAGTTCCAGTCTGCAGGGGGCTGCTTGGGGCCCCCTATGCCTAACACACTGTGGGTCTGGGGGCATGGGGCACTGGATTGGGACTGGCAGTCAATGTTTACAAATGGGTCCTGGTACAAAAAAGGTTGAGAACCACTGTTCTAGTATACTACTTTCTTTAATACAGAAGGAAAACAATATATGAAACACACTGGAGAAAAATTTAAAGAAGGTTATTTTGGCAAGGCCTAGTAATTTGATATCAGTTGTGTAATACAGGAAAACCATATTTTATAATGTCTTAAAATTCTTCAGTTCTACCCAAATTTAATTCCTCAAGTATATGCAAGATGTGGCAGAGGCCAAAGAGGCCTCTGCCACGTTACATATATTATACGATTAACTGGTTAATCATTTAATAAATGTAGACTGGCTACAAATGGAAAGTTGTTATCATGCAGTTATCTGGTTAACTGTGCAATAAATTTAGACTGGTCACATGTGCCAAGTAGTTGTCTCGCCATAAAAATGTCCATCCAGTTATAAAAAGAAACCTACCAGCTACAAAGTTAGTGTTTGAAAATGTGTAACAGCTTTATACGTGGTTTCTGTCTGGCTTTAATTTGAACATGTAGCAGGGCCCAATGTTTTGGTCAGTTGTGCTAATGAATGGTCCCTCTTCTGGGAGAGCTGGATTCCTTGAGGAGCTTTATTCACATTTGTTCTCGTATTGGAGTAAATGAGGACTTTTTACACATGCTGGGGGGTGGGAGGGGAGGTTAATTAGAGCAGCTCCAAGAGCTGTTCTAATTAAAGCACTGCAGGATCTTGTGTAGTATTTCCCCGCACTTCAAAATGGCAGTAGGGCACTTGAACTAAAGCTCTTCAAACAAGCTTTAGTTTAAGCACCCCGTCACCATTTTGAAGTGCAGAGACACTAATACATGAGACTCAGAGGCTGGCTGGAGCGCAGTAATTGCCATGCTCCAGCAGACTTGATTAATTCTGTAATTACAGCGTGTCAGAGCAGCCCAGTAACATGTCTACAGACACCCAATGTGACTACTTCAGTGAATAAAGACTTTTAAAAGAAGGAGGAGATGGCACTCTTCTTTCCAAGGGGGCTCTTGCCCTTTTTCAGATTTGTACACCTCTCATTGCATCCCAGCCATATCTATTTTACTGTGCTGGTGGACAGAGAACTGACTTCTTGTAATTTAAGGTAGAAAGTCACATTTTCTAAGTACATGCAATACATGCAAAAATCATATTTGTTAATGATCACATTCTTCCTAAATAATTCAACTGTTACATTTGGAGAGACATTAATTGAGGCCAAGCAGTACCTTACATGTAAGAGACTAATTGCTTATGTAATAAGTTCAAATTCATAGAACCAAAGTTAGTGCCTGTGTAACTTTGTTGATTTAAGTGATGTTATTTTTCCTATTTGTTTAGCATTCTGAGAAATAAACTACAAATTAGATACTGCTATCTCTAAAAAAGAAAGTAGCGATGGACAAGTAAACTGCAGCTTCCTGTTTGTTGTATTTCAGTTTTCAGGTGCTCTAGACTCTGACCTTGTCAGCATAGTGAAACAGACGCTTGATATAGAAAAGAAAAATTTGCTTGCGTTACTGGTACAGTGCCTGACAGACCAGTGCAGAAAAATAGTATTTACGTTGCATCTGTGGAGAATTCTTTATGGGTTTTCCTGACTGAAAGCATTGAAAAAGCACAATAGACTAGATTAATAACAAAATGTATTAGATCTGCTTTTTGTCTCTCTCACCAAAATAAACTTCAATCTGTATATTGTATACAGGGTCAAAATAAAATCTTCTGCAATGCTTCTCTCCAAACAGTCTCCTGAAGCTCTATATTTTGTTTAACCAACATTGTCTTAGTTTGCACAGCTGCAAATGGTAGGTTCATACAATATTCAGCCTTTAAAATGTAGATACAACATTTATTTTGATGATTTCTTGGAAAAGTAAACTCTGTGTACTCAATTGATGTTGCAAAACAGTTTCCATGTATTGGATGATGGCATGGGATATCACAGTAATAGACTTGGACTCTAGGCATGAAAGATTTAAATAATTAATTTCACCCTGAACATTGCATATATAGAATACTTACTTAAACATTTATATTTCTTAAGTCTTCTATAATTTTTGCTGCCATTTTCCCTTTACCAGTTGGGAAAGGTATTTCTAAAAACATACCTTCTGCTCCTGCTTTATTCAGAATAATTTTTACTCTAAGAAGCCACAGTATATAAAGAAAGGATTACGACTTCATTATGGGAGCAAACAGACGGTGAAAGTGGGTTGTGGAAGACAAAGCTATTATTCAAACACACATCCTTACAATAACAGAAAGAGGAATACAGATGCTTACTGACAATAAAATTGCTAATTGCTTTCTTATAAAATGGTCTCATTTTACCAATTTACATCTATGCAAGTGGAGTGAGGAATTAAATAGGATTGAAAATGAGTAAAAATAGAAGTTGTACATTTCAAAAAACACTAGTTTCAGATCATGGCTTAGATTTATGCTTTTTTCAATTATGAAAGACAGACTGAATAATGGTATATTAAAAAGAGTCTATAAATTCACAATCAGTGTTCAAGGACAGGATGTTTTATATAGGAAAAGTAATTCCTAATGCTCGCTCTTGTTTTTTGTTGTTAGATGTTTTTGTTAATTGTATGCCTGACTTTCTTTGTAGAAGGCTGTGTTCAGAGAGTTCAGAAGTTCTCAATTTAACTCACTATCTTCTATATACTGGCTTATATTTTATCCAAAATTTAATTTGTGGAGATGTTTGCAGAAGAATTTTTGAACAAAAGATTTTTTTTTCCTTTTTTTTTTTTTTCCTTTTAGAGTCAGAAGATGGCCAGAAACAAGCAATGGTTAGTGAGCGAACAGAAACTTTTACTACTTCACGAAATCTGTTGGTCTCAGGAGCAGATGCTATTGAAAGGATCATGTCTTCTTATAAAGAGGTATTGTGCATCATCTATGTATACAATAGAAAAGAAAAAAGGAAGAAAAGCAAAATAAAAAATTAATTTGCATATTTAAAAAAATCTTTTGTAATTACATTGGGTCAAACTGATGTTCTTAATTCAATGGGTATTTTTTGAGTTGAGAATCTGACCTAAAGGATTAAATCCTCAAAGGACTTAAAGTACTTAACTGCCAGTAGTTTCCTTATCTTGATACCTGGGAAGTTACTGGAGCATATCCTAAAGAAGGCCATCTGCAAGCATCTGAAGGAGGAAAGGCTAATCACAAGCAGCCAGCATGGATTTATGGAAAACAAATCATGTCGAACGTGATCTTTGATAATGTAACTACTTGGGTGGATAAAGGGAATGCTGTGGGTGTAGTGTATCTGGAGTTCACCCCACATGACCGTCTCATAAATAAATTGGAGAAATGTGGGCTAGATAAAACTACCATAAGGTGGATAGCTAACTGGCTCAATAGCCATAAGCAAAGGGTAATTATTACTGGGTCCATGTCAGCATAGTAGGAGGTTTTGAGTGGGGTCCCACAGGGGTATATCCTGAGTCTAGTGCTGTTCAGTGTGTTTATTCATTTTTTGGGTAGTGGCATAGAAAGCATCTTGAGCAAGTTTGCAGACATCGTGAAACTGGAAAGGACTGTGAACACACTGGAGAATGCAAGTGCAGTTCAGAAGGCTATTGACAGACTGGAAAGCTGGGCTGAAGGTAACAGGATGAAGTTCAGTCTGGACATATGCAATACCTTGGGAAGAATCATCAAAAGCACAAATATAAAATGGGTAACACCTGGCTGGATGGCAGCTCTACAGAAAAGGGCTTGGTAGTCTTGGTAGACCATAGACTCGATACGAGTCTGCAGTGTGATGCATCCAAAAACTGCATTGGCCTTGTGTGGCTGCATCAATAGAAGCATTAGGTGCAAAGCATGGGAGGTGATAGTGCTTCTCAGCTTGGCACTGGTTAGGCCTCATCTGGAGTATTTTGTGCAGTTCTGGGCTCCACATTAAGAAGGTTCTGGAGAAGTTAGAGAGGGGGTCAGCTAAGACAATAAAGGGCTTGGAAAGCAAGTCGTATGAGGGGAGGCTGAAGGAGCTAGGTGTGTTCTGCTTGTGGAAAAGGTGCTTAAGAGGGGATATCAAATACTTGAAGGGCTGTCATAAAGAAGGAGAGAACCTTTTATCTCTTGTTGCAGAGAGGAGAACACAGACCAATGGCTTAAAGTTTTTCAGTAAAGTAAGTTTAGATTGGGTATCTGGAAAAAAGACTTCTTCACTGTTAGACTAGTGAGGCAGTGGAATAGACAGTTTAAGGAAGTTGTGGACTCTCCATCACTGGAGGTAGTCAAGGAGAGGTTGGACAGCCACTAGTCAGGCATGATCTAGGTGTAGTTATGCCTATGTTCTACTATGGGCATTTCCCAATGCTTCTGGGCTTTGCTGGTTGCCCCTGCCTCTTCTTGCTGTTATGTGTGTCAGGGTGTTTTTAAGCCTCCTTCAAAGGCCTTGGATGTTGGCTACAGCCAAGGCTTGGGACTTCAGTTGGGATGTGCTAAGGCTTCTGCTGGAACCAAAGCCAGAAGTTCCTAGCTTAGAGGGTCTTGCCACTCTGCTCAGGGACAGACTGATTGCTATATTTGGGGTCAGTACAGAGTTTTACCCTGATAGAGACTGGAGAGGGTTTTGTCTTCCTCTGTAGCAGGGGGTGTAGCCCTCTTCCTTGGACCTCTTGAGCATATACTGAAAACGTTTAACTGAAAATGGACATTGGCCACCATGGTTCTCCTGCTTTGCCTGTCACAGATTAGGGTGTTAGGTCTGTGTTATCAGGGCTAAGGGTAGTTTTATGTGGAGTTTAGATTATGGATTGTATAGAATGGTGTCGCAGGGCACCTCGGTGCCCTGCTCCTAGAGAGGAGAAACTGCCAGGGCGAAAGAGCCCTGGCAGGGAATAACGAGCACAGCTGTGGGTTGCCCGGGGCAACCAGGAAGTCAGCTGACCAGAAGGGGCAGGGCCTGGCCCTCATAAGGCCCAGAGGCTGAGGCCAGGCTAGCATTTCCCTGCCAGCAGCCAGAGGGGCAGGAGCTCCTGGAGTTAGGATGCGAGAATCACAAGTACAGCTTATGGCAGTTCTGGAGGCTTGAGCAGTGATGTTAAGTTATAGCCAGGCGGCTTCAATTTGTGTTACAGCCTAGGGGCTTGTGTTTTGCGTTGGCGTTGTTATTTATTACACCGGTGGCTAGGGTGAGGCTATTAGGGGTTGGAGGAGGCCTCAGGGGGATCCCACAGTGGCGTGGGGACCCCGGTGCCAGTGAGGGCACAGTATCCTCAGGGGGAACCCACAGCGGCGTGGGGACCCCGGCGCCAGGAAGGGCACAGCATAGGGGGTACATAGACCCCAGCCCCAGGAAAGGGGCAGCATTAGACGGTGAGCCCCAGAAAGGGGGCAACATTATTGGAAAGCCCAAGTTGGGCACAGCGAGCCCCAGAGAGGGGAGCGCCTTATTGAGAAGCCCAAGTGGGGGCACAGAGAGCCCCACAAAGGGGCAACAGTATTGGAGAGCCCAAGTTGGGCCCGGCGAGCCCCAGAGAGGGTGCGTTTTTGAGAAGCCCCAGTGTGGGCGTGGCAAGCCCCAGAGAGGGGGCACTATTGAGAAGCCCCAGTGCGGGCGTGGCGAGCCCTGTAGAAGGGGTACTACTGAGAAGCCCCAGTGCGGGCATGGTGAGCCCCTGAGAAAGAAGGGCATAGTTCTGCGGTAAACCCCGGAGAAGGGCAGAGCACTGCGGTAAACCCCGGATAGAGGGGGTAGTAGTGCGGTGAGCCCTGGAAAAGGGGGGTAGCAGTGCGGTGGGCCCGAGAGACAGGTGGCTGGACCGGGAAGTCCCAGAGTGGGCACAGAAGTCCCCAGGAGAGGGGCGGTGTTATAGCGAGGTCCCCAGAAGAGGGGCGCCGGTACAGAGAGCCCCAGGAGAGGGGCAACATTAGCAGAGAGCCCTAGAAGTGGGCGGTTTGATTGAGAAGGCCCATAGTGGGCACAGAGGGCCCCAGGAGAGGGCAGTGGTACAGAGAAGGCCCTTGAGCAGAGGGCTGCAGAGAAGGCCCCGAGAGAGGGCGGCAGTACCAACAAGACCCAGAGTGGGCATAGGGAGCCCCAGGAGGGGGCGGCAGTACAGAGAAGGCCCGGGAGCCGGGCAGCAGTACAGAGGAGGCCCAGAGAGCGGGCAAGTGTATCAGACAGACCAACGTCCATTCCGACTGCAAGGCTTGGGGCGTGGTATAAGGGGTGGTTGGAGCCACGCATAGCCCATAAGGCTAGGGTGCCCCAAAGCACCCATTTGCAGGACAGGACCCACGAGGAGTCCGGGAAACCACGGGGTCCGAATCAACATAGAGACGTGCCCAAGAGGGTGTAAGGCAGCCTCCCAACTGATTTAAACATCAAAGACATGGCGGGCGAGAAACCGAGGGTGCCCTTGGGCCGACTTGGCACGGAAGAGGGGGCCTTAAGGAGATCATGGCCCTCCTGTAGGACCCCGCCGTGCCAAATGGTTTGGATAGAGATGATCTTGCCTGGACTAGATGATCTCTGGAGGTCCCTTCCAGCCCTACTTCTCTATGATTCTCTATGAGATTTAAAATTTAGGTGTCACAGATTTCTTCAAAACAACTTTTTAGCTGCCACTTAACCTTAGAGGTACCAGAATGGCTGTTGCTGGCCCTGATGCTACCAAGCTACTTGGTTTCCTAGCTCATGCCTACGACATAGTGGGATTCACAAAGTATTCCCCCATGGCCTTCTCATTAATTGGGTTCAGTTATGTGGTGTTCTCAGGGCACACTGAACCTGCAGAAAATAAATAAATAAATAGTAGCGGCTCTGCTGCACCCACATACTCAGTGTCCTTGTGTCTAGAGAAAAACAGGGATCATTAGGAAATACATGAGAACTAGGTTTAAATCCCTCTTCTCAGTTGGAGCAGGTATTTAAACTCAGGTGTTCTACCTAGCAGCAGACTGTAGTATATTCTGGGCTTGGCTTTTCTGTCTCCCTTGCTGGAACTGGTCCACATTATATGGAGTACTTAAATAGTCATTAAAGCAAGGACCCATGTGTCTGAGGTGACTGCTGTAACTACTAGGCTGTGAAGTCATTCTCTTTCTTTGGCCTGGTGAATATTTAAGTATTTTAAACCGTGTTGAACAACTTTAGCAGGAGAGGCCCACTTCAAAATACTCTGTAGACCAGTACTGAGAGAACTCGCACAAGAGGAAACTTCCGGCTTCAAACTGATGCTCTAGTCTAAATCAATCATAGTAGGTATTAAAACCTCTCTCTCCTATATCCCAGATGATTGCTGTAAAACTGGGATATTGGTTAAAGGAGATAGGTTAGTGGAAACGCTGTTGATCTCCTGGAGTTGGGCCTCACTTGTTTCCTCTACATTGTCTTTGATTAGTTTAGGGCAGTGGCGTTCAGCCTTCTTGCCCCATGAGCCAGCTTGGCAGTGCCTGGTCCATCTGTGGGTCAAATTCAGAGCACGAGTCAAGCACAGTGGGGCCCAGTCTGGAGGGGGCAGAGTCTAGCCTGACCTAGATTTAACCCCACAGGGGAGAGGGAGCACAGCTCGGCCCTAATCCAGCTGCAGGGGGCTTGGGAATTTGGCAGCAGGGGAGGGGTGGTAGTATTAAATGCCACTGTTCCCCTGCTGCCTATTTTTCTGACCCATGGGGAGCCCCATGGGCAGGATGCTATAGGTTCATGGGCTGGGTTTGTCCCATGGGCTAGGCGGTAAGCACCACTGGCTTAGGGCCTTGGACAAACGTACTTTGAAGCACTTCTAATTCTCTTCTAGTTCAGAGTCCTTCAAATTCAGAGTATTTAAGGCCATGGACAAACATGTAGCCCACTTTTGTGCCTCTTCACCAGACCACTTCAGCCTTGCTATGAAGGCCTGCAGTAGTGTGTTCTCCTGCT